GCACTAGATTTTGTGTAATCTTGTTTTCTTTAGAGGAATCGCCTGCTAGGTTTATGTTACACGAAGCGTTCAGAGAGTTTAATGGCTTAGGGCTTAAGGTGTGTGATTTTCATGTGCTCACGAGTATGAGGCTATGTTAAAACTATTTTTATTTGGGAAGGAGAAACTGAGATTGTGGTTGGGACTCTAGCCTTTGGTGCAAGAGTCATCACAATATTTTTCTAAGAGGCATTATAATAGAGAAATAAAAGCTATTTAGAGGTACCTGCCTACTCGTTTTAAGACTTCCTATCTCTGGATTTCTTCGTTCCTTGAATAGTTTAAAGGGAGGTGCTTCTGCAAACATACTGAACACAGGAAGATGCTGAGGGAAAGCTGCTGTGTTGGAGCATACAAAATTTTGTAGCATACACAATTTCCCAGAAGCAACCCTTTGAAGGAAGGGACAATGGGAGTGAAGATGCCCTTATCAAAACTTTGCTGAAATCTTGTCACTTCATCAATCAAATATGTAGTAAATGAGCACCACCTGCTCATGGTAGAGATTGTTTTACATTGCAATCTCATGCAGATTTTCCCAGAGGCAAGTCCCATTTGTTCAATGGAGCTTTCTCCTAGGTGTGTGTGCTAATTCAATTCCTCACAGAACAGACAAAGCAATACAGAAACATGGCATTTAAATACACAGCTTGGCCCGTTTTAACTTTACTCCTTGCCTGGCATGTAGATTCTACGTGTGGCATATAAGAGAAGTGAGAATCAGTCTTGTTACATTCCACCAACACCCAAGTAGGACATTAGTATAACCAGCGGTTCTTAATTTCTAATCCATGACCACTGCCAAGCATGTAACATCTTCACCAAATGCCCCAAGGTGCAAGTAAGTGATGAGTGATCATGTGATCGCTCATATGTGGTACAATGGAGAGTGGGCAGAGTTGGGAAAGATGGGAGACCTAGTTTCAGCTAACCCAGCGCACTAGTAGAAGCCAGCACAAGGGCGAAACTGGTCCTCATAACTACTTCCTCAAAGCAATCTTAGAGGTAGGAGCAGAAATCCTGAATTACAATGCCTCCAACTTCTACCTCCCTGAGCCATTAGAAGAGGGTGCCAATGTCATGATGATTCTTGATCTGATTAGAATTTTATTTTTGATTGTATTACTTTGATTATTATTTGCTTTATTATTTTCCCTTATTCTTTGTTTTTCTTGGTTTATCCTTTGTTTTATTGCTTTAGTTTTTTTAAAAAAAATATTATTGATTTCTAGTTTTATCTACTGATCTTATACAGAACAGTAGTTTCAGTGTTGGTATTTGTGAATGAGTTTTTGGGGGTTTTTGTATACCTTTGAATTTGTTTGAATTTTTGCAGTGGGCTTTGGCTTGATCTAAACTGATGAAGGAGTATTAATTTTTGTGGGGTTTTGCCCCAAGAAGAGATGAGAGTTTCCTGACTCATTTCTCTTTGCTTTATGCCACTTTTTAGGGGCCTGTGGAAGAAATTTTGGATTTCAACTTCACGGTTAAGGAACAATATACAATTCTCCTTCTCTGACTGTCACAGCAGCTACTGAAAAAGCATAGAAGCCACTGTCTAAAAATCCCAAATGCACCCATTTGCCACTCCCAAAGTTCTGAAATGCCACCCAAGTTTTGAAGACCACCTCCTTGGGAGCCTCCTGTGGTATAAACTAAGGCCTACATTTCTATATGTGAACACAAATCACCTTCAATTGTAGCCTTTGCCCACTCCAAGAAAGGGCAGCTGGATTGCAACCAGAAAAGAAAAAGAACTTTCCACATTGAGGTGAGGCTGTCCCCACACATGCATCTGATTGCCACACCAGCCAGCCATATTATCTAGAGAAGCTCATCTTCTCCATGAGACTGAAATGTCAGTCAACAAAGAACAATGTATTCTATTCATGGTCGATTTCTTTGCAGCATCTCCTAACTATCAATCTGCAATCAGCGAAAGCTATCCATTGTTAGAACATCATGCTAAAGCAATCTGAATGCCAACCATTCTAACACCCCACCAGTCTCCAAATCAGCTGTACTTAAACCACCACTCAGCAAGTCAGATCCACATCCTTGTGAATCTAAATGTTGCATCACCTGTGTTTATCTCAGGGAGACGATTACCTTTAACAACACTGTGAAGGGCAGAACATTGCCAGCAGTGTCGCATATTGAGTGTAAATGCCCAGGATGCTGAATTCCATGAGGAAAACAGCAGCTGACCCATGCATATGTTTTCAAGAAACATAAATCCACAATCCTGATGAAAAGATTTGAACAATCAGTTGTAAAGCACTTCAGCTCTGAAAATCAGAGCCTCTTTGATTTGTCAGTTTTGCAATAGGGGAAACTCCCCACCAGAGTAGAAATCATATATCGGACAGATGGAAAGCTCTTTATCTGAGTGGGCTGAAAGCAAAGAGTAAGGTTACCTTAACTTCCATCATAGAGCTTCAGTATGCTGATGATAATGTAGTGTGTGCACGCTCAGAGGATGACCTCCAAACCATCCTAAATATCTTTGTAGAAGCTTACAAAAATCTTGGCCTATTGCTTAGCATCTAAAAAACCAAAGTGCTACACCCCCCAGTACAAAATAACCCCTCTGCAGCACCACAAATCCAACTCAATGGTGAAACGTTGGGAAATGTTGATCACTTCTCCTACCTGGGCAGTTATCTTTCCACAAGGGCCGACACTGATGCCGAAATCCAGCATCACCTGAGCTCTGGGAGTGCGACTTTCTCCCAATTGAAATGCAGAGTGTTTGAGGACTGGGACATTCACAGGGAAACCAAAATGCTTGTTTACAAAGCTATTGTACTACCAACCTTACTGTATGCTTGTGAAACATGGACATATATAAATGTCATCTCCAGCTCCTCAAAAGATTCCATCAATGGTGCCGCCAAAAAATTTTACACATCACTTGGGAAGACAGGTGAACTAATACCAGTGTGCTGGAGGAAGCAAAGATCACCATTGTTGAAGCAATGATTCTTCAACATCAACTTCGTTGGACTGGTCATGTTGTGCAGATGTCTGATTATCCTCTTCCCAAACAACTACTCTATTCTGAACTTTAAAATGTAAAGCGTAATGCTGGTGGTCAACAAAAGAGGTATAAAGACTGTCTCAAGGCAAGTTTTTAAAAAAATGTAGTATAAACACCAAGAATTGGGAAACACTTGCCTGCGAGCGCTCCAATTGGAGAACAGCCTTTATCAAAGGTGTCATGGGCTTTGAAGACACTCAAACTCAGGATGCAAGGGAGAAACCTGCTAAGAGGAAGGCATGCTTGGCAAATCCACACTGTGATCAACTCCTGCCTGGAAACCAATGTCCCCACTGTGGAAGGATGTGTGGATCCAGAACTAGCCTCCACAGTCACTTATGGACTCATTCTTAAAAAACCGTGTTTATGGAAGACAGTCTTACTCAGTTATGAGTGATTGCCAAAGAAGAATAGGAATACCATCTGAGGTCATCTGATCCAGGAATGCTGGGAGCAAATGGAAGCTTTCTGGATATATAGACTTGACACCATAGCACTACATGTCTGAACTCTGAAGGACAGAAAATTATTTATTTCTGAACCACTTCCCATAAAACATCCCCAAATGAAATAATAATAATAATAATAATAATAGCAACATTTTTGAAAGAAAATCAAGTCCAATACATATCATAATTATTGCAATTGTAATATGCATGCCCTTCCCCCCACACACAGAGAGAGCGAGAGAGCTCCATGTTGACAACAGGCATTTTGCTACTGTCTCAGCATTGTTTTGCTTCATCTGTCTTTTTGTGCTAAGAGTCTTGCTTCCTGTTTTCTGCTTGCATCACAAAAGAAAGATGAATGAGTTAAAACGCAGAAGGGTTGTGGTTCGAGGACCCGACCCCGGTGAAGTGAAATGAAGACACAAGGACACGTGATATAAGGTTAATGGGCTAAGAAAAGGCCACAACTTTATTGGTTACAGCATTTAAAAGGTATTGGCTTAGGCATTGGATCGAAACAAGTGGGTTCTTCACCAGTAGGTGGAGCCTGTCGATGCCAATCCGACTATAGGCTCACCCCTGCTGTCACCGAGGGTCGTGCCAAGGCCTCCCGCCAAGCAGGCATCGGACGGAATACACGACCCCCAGATTCCTTTAACGGAATACCCCTAAAAATTGAAGGCATAGGCGATGGCCACACCTAGCACTTCCACACAGCGCAACACATTATTCCAATGCCTAACCTACCCACCAATACCACAAAAGTTGTGACGATTGCTACGAGGTAGGCGAAAAAACCAATTAGCCTAGTGCCAAATGGAAAAACTCCTACCAGGCCCCCCAGCCAACCAGGGCGACCAACCTAAGGTCCATAGCAAGGCCGAAAAAACCCGAGCCCTAACTAAAGGGAGTGGAGGGTGGGTGACTCGCGAGGGGCGAAGGAAGGAAGAATGAGGCCGGGGGAAGGCTGGCGCTGCAGCAAAATGCTGCTGGACACGCCCCCACCGTGGCCCCCGGTTGGATGGCCACCGAGGGGGCGTGAGCGCCAGCCAGGTGAGTGGGCAGCAGGGGGCCCCGCCCCCTGCTAGCCGGAGCTCGAGCCCCGACCACAACCCCTCCCCTCCCCTTCGGGGAGGAGAGTCTTTGTGGTTCGAGGACCCGACCCCGGTGAAGTGAAATGAAGACACAAGGACACGTGATATAAGGTTAATGGGCTAGGAAAAGGCCACAACTTTATTGGTTACAGCATTTAAAAGGTATTGGCTTAGGCATTGGATCGAAACAAGTGGGTTCTTCACCAGTAGGTGGAGCCTGTCGATGCCAATCCGACTATAGGCTCACCCCTGCTGTCACCGAGGGTCGTGCCAAGGCCTCCCGCCAAGCAGGCATCGGACGGAATACACGACCCCCAGATTCCTTTAACGGAATACCCCTAAAAATTGAAGGCATAGGCGATGGCCACACCTAGCACTTCCACACAGCGCAACACATTATTCCAATGCCTAACCGCCACCCGAGCTAAAGGCTCGCCGCCAATACCCTCAAAGCTGCAACCAATCCCAGATGTTTTTAATGACACTAGCTAACCAGAAGTCATTCCCAAGATCTGATAGGTGGACACCGTCATCACGGTATAAAGCTTTGTCGCTAATCCGGATACGGTCATGGTAAATCACTCGGCCATCCATAAAGCGCACCCAACGGGCTACCGCCCGATTTACGAGTTTCCTGGTTCTTTCAATGGCCATACAGTCTTGCGCACCGCGCCACACAGTTCTCTTCAAGAAGGAGGACCAGCACACTGTCGTTCTGGGACACAGGGCTGCAAATGCATTCAAGTCTCTTTTTATGCTTGACAACAAGTCCACACTCCTTATGTTGCCCAGGTCATTCTCCCCTAAATGAATCACCAGGATGTCGGGAGAGCCGAACTTGGCTATTTTCTCCCGCAGCAAAGGCATCAGTTCTTCCCAACGCATGCCTCTTCTCGAAAACCAGGAAACTCGAACATCACGTGGCAGACCGAGATTGGGTGCCAGGCCGCAGCTCACCGCTCGCACGCGGGCCCAATGAACAATGCTGTGACCGCAAATCCACACGATTCTTCCGGGCATAGCTGGGAATAAAGATAGAACAAAAGGAAGGGTAAGCAGACTAAGGGGTAGGCGCAAGGTTGCGAATATATGACTTATAAACATTGGATTTCCACCGGCCCAACTCTTTTATCCTTTCTGCCGGCAACCCCAGGTGCGCGGCCGTGGTGGCGGCCCCGATCCTGAACGAATGTGCAGCGTACTCATGGGGGGGTAGGCCACAAGCCTCAATAGCCTTGCGCATTACTCTGGTGAATTGGTACCTCAACAGGGGCGACCCATCCTCGTGTATCAGGAACGGTCCCGGGCCGGCTGGTCTAAGGCGGAGATACCGCCTCGTGTCCTTCACCGGACATGGGCCCTGCTGGGCCGACGCCGTGAGCTTAAGCAGGACACCCTTGCCTGTCTGATCGGTCTTGGACTGACGCACTAGTACTGACACAGCAGATTCGGATAGCTGTACATCCTCACACAGGAGGCCGCGAGTTGAACCCCGCGCACTAGATTCACACACAACCTCACCAACTCTGAGCGCACCAAAAAAGGCTATAGCGTAAGCCGCAGAGAAGAGCCGTGCCTCAAACTTAGACCAACAAATTGTCCTGAGCTTTACGCGTATCTGAGATAGCAATCCATACGAAATAGGCTTACGCCCCACGGTCCTGGGCGGTTGCAACCTGCCCCAACCTTCAATGGCTCTACGGATCAGAAAATCGCTACATGGGTCTTGCGCAAACGTCGCCTTTGAAAAGAAGCTGATGGCTGCTACGTGGATCTTTAAGGTTTTCGTAGCACGTCCAAGGTCATCCAGATGGGACAGGTACTGCAGGACGTCATCAGTGGTGGGGGGGGTGCTATGTGATAGCCCAGACAACCCAAACCTGAAACCCAGGAAATCACACCAGGCCTTCCTATAGGACCTGAGCGTGGAAGGTGCCACGGACGCTAATACTCCCTGTATCACTTTGCGTCTCCAACGTTCCACAGGTACTCCGGAAAGGGTTCGGGCAACAGTTGTGCTCCAGGTGCGAGCGACCGGAAACGAGGAATCTGGAATCGAGACAGGGCGTCGGCTATATCATTATTGGCGCCTGGTACGAATTTGGCTGAAAATAAGATATTGTACTCAAGGCAACGGAGGACAAACGCCCGCAGGAGGGAGGAGACCCTCGCAGACCGAGATGACTGCCTGGCAAGAATGTTCACCACCGCCAGGTTGTCGGTCCTGAAGCACACTCGGTGATCTCGGAACTCCTCCGTCCAGATGTGCACGGCCACTACTATTGGAAAGAACTCGAGAAAGGTGAGATCCCGCGTGATGGCCTGACCCTGCCATGCTGAGGGCCAGCGTTGTGCGCACCAGCGCCCTTTGAAATACAAACCGAAACCTAAAGACCCTGCTGCGTCCGATTGAACCTGAAAGTCGGATGATAGATTCAAAACATCCTGCCAAAGAGAGACCCCGTTATATTTTTCCAAAAAGGCTGTCCAGACCTCGAGATCTGCTTTGACCGACCTGGGGAGGCGAACCCTGTGGAGGGGGTGTTTCAGACCGACTGACAATCTGGCAAGGCGAGCACAGAAGGGGCGTCCGGGGGACACCACCCTGCACGCGAAGTTAAAGTGGCCCAATAAAGATTGAATTTGCCTAAGGGTGATCTTCCTAAGCTTGAGAGTGTCCTGAATTAGCTGTTTAAGGGCTTCAATCTTTTCACCAGGTAAGCGGGATGACTGGGCCACTGTATCCAGCTCAATGCCAAGGTAAGTTAAGCGTGTGGCTGGTCCCTCCGTTTTCTCCGCAGCAAGAGGGACCCCAAGGTCCTCGGCCAGGACTGAGAAGGCCTCCAGCAAGGAGGCGCACTCCCCCGTGTTGGCTCCGCCCACGAAAAGGAAATCGTCCAGGTAATGCGTGACCCCAATGGTATTTGCCCTGAAACGCAGGGCCCAGTCCAAGAACGTGCTGAAGGCTTCGAATGCCGCACAGGCAACAGCGCAGCCCATTGGCATGGCCCTGTCAACATAGTATTTTCCCTGAAATTTAAAACCCAGCAACCGGAAATCAGCGGGATGTACTGGCAAGAGGCGGAAGGCCGATTCGATATCACACTTTGCCAACAACGCCCCGGGGCCGAAACTGCGGATCAACTTAACTGCCTGATCGAAGGTGGCGTATTTCACTGTGCATAACTCAGGCGGGATGGCATCGTTGACCGAGCCGCCCTTTGGGAAGGACAGATTATGAATGAGCCTGAATTCACCAGGGGTCTTCTTTGGCACAATGCCTAGCGGAGATATGTGCAAATTTGGTATGGGGGGGCGATCGAAGGGGCCTGCAACCCTGCCAGCGCTGACCTCCTTAGCTATCTTCCTTTCAGCAACTTCCGGTCTCTCTCTAACTGATTTTTGATTGGGTGAATCTTTCGCGATTAACGAACCCGCTATGGGAATACGAAACCCACTGGAAAAACCTTCCCTGAGGTAGGAAGCTGCATCCTTATCCGGGTAAAGAGACAGAAGATTGCGAAGGGGGACGAGCTTGATAGGGGAAAAGGCCAATCCCAAGACTACCTCACCGTCTGTTCCCTGCTGCGGGGGCCCCCCTGGAACTGGGATGATGGGACCCCCGGCCTCCACGAAAGGGCTGCTTCCCCCCTCTTAAGCAGGATGTAACAGGGTGGCCCCCGGCGCATCTTTCACATTCATGTGTGAATTTACAAGATGGCCTTTGGCAAAACCCTTTGTTGTACTCCCAGCACACCCGACGCTTAAAATCCTTCCTTTGGTCACCTCTAGCCGACCGATACGAGTCGACTGGCCTCTTTTCTACGTACGGACCAACAGCCACGGACCATATTCCATTCTCAATCTGATCCCAGCGAGCTAAAGGGATTCTGGACGCCTTCCTTCTGAATTTTTTGTCATAGCTTATGGCCGCCGCCTCCCCTGAAAGGGCACAGGCCGTGCGAATATGTGAAAGGTAGGCGACAAGGTGGACCGCCCTCTTGGGGTAGGCAGCGACAATCGTCCCCATAAAGGCTTGAAAACCATCAAGCCAATTTTCAAACGTCCTAGGCACAGAAGGGTATTTGCTCTTTCTCTTGCCATGCGAGGGCCTCTTTTCTCCCCTGCCTAACTCCTCTGCTGGGGGCACTAATTTAAACATGTCAACAAACTCACCATTTAAGATCTTTGCTCGTAGTTTAGGAGATAGATGTTCACCTGGTATAACATCCGAGGTTGAGTAGGTGGATGAGGTGGCGTCTTTTACCAGAGCCCCATCCTTCCACTCCTGGCTCCCCCCAAACTTTTTACGATGGCTATTGGCCCTCCTCGACAGAGCCCAGTCTGGAAGACCAGATATCTCCTCGCCCTTCCCCCAATAGGAACCTAGCGACGCGTCGCTATCATACTCTGACGAAGAAGTACCTGTATCATCATCCGAGTCGTCCCTCCGAGACCTGCTCTTCCTACATGTATGCTTCTTCTTTTCGCGCCTCTTACCCGAAGGCTTCTCCGCGATCGCAGCGGTGGCGGCGCCCTCTTCCTCCTGTTGCGCGTCTTCAGCCGCCGACGAAGCCTCAGAATCTGGCGACTGGGCTCTGGGCCGCTTGTCCTGCGAGCGATTAGAAGAACTGGGGGCAGCAGAATTATTATTGCGAGTAGACTTAGAAGTAGACTTAGAAGTCGCTTTCCCCCCCCGCGCCCGAGACCCAGATGTCGAAGCCCTTGACTGAGACCTAGTCCGCACCGATTGTGTATCATTAAAGAGGGCGGCCGATGTACTTGGCATTTCGTCCCATTGGGAAGTCTGAGAACTCTCTGGGAACTCCTGGGTATCTGGGATGACATCAGGGGAAGAGGGGGGACTGGGGTTCGCGTCCGGGAATCGTTGTGCGTATTCATCTATGAAAGATCTAAAAGCATTCAGGAGGTGGGAGACGGGAGGCCCTGTATTATTACCCCTGCCCTGTCGACCCCGTGATGCGCTCTCTGCTGAGCTACGTGTGGCTACAGATGCACGCTTCCGCTTAGGAGCCATAAGCTGCGCCTTGTACAGGTCACAAGTAACGGTGTTTGTTAGTGTGTGTATGCGTGTGAGCGTGTGTGTGTGTATATATATATATATATATATATATATATATATATAATTTAATTATTTAATTTTAAATTTTTTTTTTTATTTTTTTTTTTAAATATATATTTATTTAGATAAAATTATTATTTATTTATTTATTTATTTATTTATTTATTGTTATTTATTTATTTATTATGCCTATATATCTGTTTATTATCTAATCAGTTTCTGAATATTTATATTTATCAATTTATTTATTTCTTCTCTACTACTATATATTCCAATCAAATATAGACTGTGTTAATTAACCAAATCAAATATTGCAATTGCTACTGCATTAAATTGCCATTCCTGCTATTGACTGACTAGCAAGTATTATGAAGAATTGCACTAATGCTCCCCAATCAGTTCTCAATCTATCTACAACCTTGTTATTATTATCGTTAATAAAACAAAATATACTCTACTAATTTGTCTGCGCTACCAGCCAGCAGTGACACAGAGAACTGATAACCACTGTGTTGTCCCCTAGGCAGTGAATCAAATTTTCCCTTGTGTGTTAGCCAGGTGAGGGGCAGCAACTAGAAAAGAAGCCACTCCTACTAAACTTAAACTAATCAAGCCAAGGTACTATAGGAGGATACGACTGCTGCCAAGCTTCACTTCCTCAGACAAAAGAACAATAGCCCAGCAATCCTCTGCCAGCCACAGGTGAGATAAGCTGGCCAAAGCCCTTGAAAATGTGCCTCTGGGGAACAATAGGCTTAACTATCGATCGTTAGCCTTTAAATTGCTCTGCTGGCCGGCAACAATAAGGCGTTTCTATGGCAACATACGCTATAGCTGACAACAATGGCTGTTCTTCAAGCGGCAAGAGCAAGAGTGTTTCTATGGGAACCTCTAGAAGGGTCCCAAGGCAGACCAGGAAATAAGCAGTGGGAGGGGGGGAGAGGGGAAAAGGCTCAGAGCAAACAAAAGGATTGAGACTAGGTGAACCAGGAAGCACTCAGCAACACAGAAACAACTTATCTCCCTAACTAGGGCTAAAGGCTCACAAACCAAAAAGGGAGAGAGGGGGGGCCGCAAAAATGGGCCCCAGCCACCGCTCTGAATGACCCCTGTGCCTGTTGCCTACACCCAGATACTGACGTCGGCTCACAAATAGTGCTCCAGAAGTTATGATATCCCCCCCGGTGCGGCAGCTAAAGCGCACGTGGGCTGCACAGATGTAAAGCAAGACAAAACGAGGTCCCCCAGGCCACGTTAACACAAGCAAATGCGGCAACAGGGGAGCTGTAACATGCACAGGTAGCTTGCAGAACCAACAGGGAGAATCGTTCCAGCAACGCTCAAAGAGCAGCCAGAATTTAAGAGACAGCAAAACGACCAATTCCCGGGGGGGGCCCAAAGAAACCCAAGCAAACCACGAACGGTAAAGGCAGGAAACTAAGGGGCTACCTAAAGCAAGAAAACAAACCGCAAGCCCCAAGGGTAGGAGTCAGCAACACACGCGGTAGCGGAAAACTGGCTGTATTCCGAGCCTCAGTGCTGCCAAGAGGCGCAAACGAGGGGAAAACGGATCGGCACCACTCCCTTCCCGAGTGCCCGTAACACCAGGCACCGCTACGTAGTAGCAGTGACCCAAACGCGATCGTTTAACCCTTCCCCGACAACCCGCGCCAACCCTGGTGGGAGAAATGAGGACGCAACTGCAGGGTTTCCGGGGAAGCAAACCGAATAAGTGAAATGCACAGATCAGCTGTTGGGCGGCCAGTAGCGGGACTGAAGATAGCAGCCACGTGGGCTGTAGCCCGACGCTGAAAGAAGCTCGGATATGGGGTTTGGAAACGGAAGCAGGCGAAAACGCAAAATGCGCCCGTCAGCTGTTGAATAATTAAATGCGCAGATCAGCTGTTGGGCGGCCGGTAGCGGAACTGAGGATAGCGGCCACGTGGGCTGTAGCCCGACGCGGTTGGTTTGAATTTAAAGGACGCACGCCGGAGATGTGGCCGCTTGCTGCTGCAAAGACCTTGGAAAATTACAAACAGTAAGACACACCGCGGAAAAGGACACCGCAAAGTAAAGCCGCCCACGCACTAAGTCCGGCCGCGGCCGCGTTAGCACACCGCCACAAGCAACGCAAATACTTCCCTGGCTTCTGATGCAGCGCTCTCCTGTTCAGCTGACTCGCGAGGGGCGAAGGAAGGAAGAATGAGGCCGGGGGAAGGCTGGCGCTGCAGCAAAATGCTGCTGGACACGCCCCCACCGTGGCCCCCGGTTGGATGGCCACCGAGGGGGCGTGAGCGCCAGCCAGGTGAGTGGGCAGCAGGGGGCCCCGCCCCCTGCTTAGCCGGAGCTCGAGCCCCGACCACAACCCCTCCCCTCCCCTTCGGGGAGGAGAGTCTTTGCTGTCCTTATAGAAACTCTTTAGTTTGTCCAGCTTCCTTTGTTTCCATACCATCAAATTATATACAGTGGTACCTCAGGTTAAGTACTTAATTCGTTCTGGAGGTCCGTTCTTAACCTGAAACTGTTCTTAACCTGAAGCACCACTTTAGCTAATGGGACCTCCCGCTGCTGCCGCACTGCCAGAGCACAATTTCTGTTCTCATCCTGAAGCAAAGTTCTTAACCCAAGGTACTATTTCTGAGTTAGTGGAGTCTATAACCTGAAGCATATGTAACCCGAGGTACCACGTATCCTAAACTAACTTTTAAAAAAAAGTCTGGATGAAACATCAAAGGAATTAAGGTGTCTGCTGAATAGCTAGACATTCCCTGAACTTCAACTCAGAGTCGTGCAGCAAAAAACAAACTAAAGGGGCCAGGTTTCTGGCCCTGGGGGTAGAATAACATGGATGTTTCTGTCACAAAGACAGACTTGCTCTTCCATCACGTATTTCAAAAATACTTTCCACCTGTTATTGCGTGAGAAAGATTACAACTAAGTTACATTTTAACACTTAAATATTATATACAACTGTGAAACGGATAGTGTCTTAACCACAAATTGTTTCATATGTAATCTTCCTTGAGGAGAATGGGGAAATCCATGTAGAAGTTGTCCAATTGTTATTGCCCACAAATTAATCTGATAGGGTGGTGATGTCCTATGAGTATTCAATGAGTCCTTTAAAGGCATCTAGCTGATGTGGAGTACAGAGCTGTGTGTGGTGTTTGGGGATGATTGATGTACTTGGTTTTAGATGTTTCTTCCTCTTTCGCTTGTTTGGGTTATGAACTTGCTTCCTTCCTCCTTCAGAAAATCTGTCATCTTCATCATCGTCTCCCTCATCTGAGGGCATATCTGTGTTGAGAGTGCCTTCTGGCAATTGCGCCTCTAACACTGTCAGCAGCCTCACTGACTCTCTAATGTTTCATGCTGAAGGTGCCTCTGTTAACTATCAATTTAAAAGAAAACCCCACTGGTACCTTAAGTTTACTTCTTGCAGCTGAAGTGTGAATGGATGGAGTTCCCTGCATTTCCTTAAAGTTTCAGGACGAAGGTCATGCAGGACCATCGTTAACTGGGGTTAATATGCTATACTCTGTTGGCTGTGGGGTTTTTTGCCTTTGCCATTTCTCTACTTTGTTTTTTCAGATATAATTATTATACTCTGGGCAGCTTCCAACAAAATATTAAAATACAATAGTCCATCAGAAATTAAAAGCTTCCCTAAACAGGGCTGCCTTCAGATGTCTTCTAAAAGGTTTATGTTCTACTTAAGTTTACTTTTCTTCAGAATCTAATCTTTTCCTCTTATTTTTTCCCATCACGCAATGGAAGAGTGTTTGCTTTGCATGCAGAAGATCTCTGGTTCAATCCTATGGCCATTTTGTTGAACTTTCTTCATTCTCTGCTCGGAACAAATGCATCTTTCAGAATGTTGTTATTTTGCAGGTGGAATTCAGTTGCACACTGCCAGATTCATGTTGTACAAATGAAGTGGATTTGGCACTCTTATGCAACAAACCTGGTCCCCCACTCCCAGTCAGTAATTTTGCAGTAAGGAAGGTAATGTGAAAATATGCTGAAAATGGTGGGGAAACAATTGCTTTCTGTGATACTATATAACTTCATTGCAAACCAGTCAGAATGAAGGCTGAATAAACAGTCAACGTTATCTAATCTCTCCACAAAGTTTCTGCAACTTAATCAGAATAAATGCTCAATAACAAAGTCATCAGTAAGTGACCAAAGGCTCTGTAGCTTCAACAGGGCAAGTATAATAAGCTGGCTAGAATTAATGACTGTTTCTAATAGCATTACTCTGTCATCTCATACTTCAAGCAGTCCCCTAAGTGAACTTACAAACACCAGAAAAATCCATGTAAACAATTTGCAAAGTTAAGAGCACCAGCTGCATCATCAGCTCTTTAGTATAAATATGCCTTTGGGCACTGAACTTTTGTTTTCCTTCTGCTCAGTAGCAAAGCATAGTGCAGCTCTTCAAGCAGTAACAAAGCATGTTCTGCAAACAGAATGTCAAGGTGTCATCTGTTGTAATCCTGCTAAGTTTAACAGGAGGAGTGAACAGTGGCAACCTGTGAGGCAGTGTCACAGGTGGTAAGAAGAATGGGTCTTCCAGTGGTGGGCTTCAACTCCCATCAGCCCAGGCCAGCATGGCCAATGGTTAGTACCAATGGGAAGTGGTGTCCAACAAATTCTAGAGGGCCACAGGTTTCCCGTCCCTATCCTAGCCAGTCCACATCCATGCACCTGTAGGTCCTGAAGGCAGAAATGCTCTGATTCCAGCCCAGCCTTGCATATCTCTCTAGTAAGCTCATGGGGCCTCATCTTCCCCATGGGCCCTCTTCAGTGGTGGTGTCCTCTTGCTATCTCTTCCCACTAATCACACCATCTCACTAGCAGCTTCCCCCCCCCCAAAAAAATATAGAACATTTGACTTCCACAAGTGGTATGTATCCAAAGCTTTTTTTAAAAAAAAATGTACAAACACCCTCCCCATAAATTCCATCCATTTCTACAAGTGGACGAGGCCTTGG